GTAAGCCCAGCGGCCGCAGCCACGAGCTCTTCCAAAGTGAAAGGGATGACGGGAGCGTCGTCTGCCGCCGGCAAAACAACAGACACACCCGCATCCCACCGGATACGAGCAGCATCGTCACACTCACCAAATTTGCTGCGCATGAAAGCCCTCAAGTGAGCAACAGCTGCTCCCGGGCCCCCATGGTGCAGGAAAAATTTGCGCATGTCAGACCGCCTCCTCCGCTGAAGGTGACGCACAGCACCAGGGTGCCCATGAGCAGCATGTCTGAGCTCCTGCGCATTGAAGTCAGCACGCGCAATTGCACGCAGCTCGGCAATACGGCGAAAAAGGCACTCACGATCAGGCACCGACACAGTGGATTGTTTCAACAGCTCCAGCTCCTTGATGTCGTCATATGTCGTCCCAATCACGGAAGCGCCAAGGGTTGAAGCGCTTGCGGCACGTACGAGCCAACAGTGATTTTATATCTATTATTATTTGTGTTTTTTGTGGGCCCTTTTTTCCTCAACAAGCAATTTCCACAGTAGCCAGGATTGTCCCCCCCAACCGCAGCTCCAAGTACTTGGCCTACTCATTTTAACTGGCCGCAAATCACCTTGCTTGGCGGTTTGTCTATGCGAATTCGTTTGTCCGCTTTTGCAAACCTCGTGGATTCACGCAACCACATACCCTCAAAATTCGTTAACTTCTTGAGGCGAAGCAATCAGTTGCAATGAATGTCGGGTGCTGGCCCGCGGCAAATAGGAGCTTTCCGACGTCGACTTGAGGATTAAACGGTTTTGTTTTGTGCGTGGACATTAGATGCACAAACCATCAAACTGCAAATTCCGACCTGAAAGCCTCCAATGTTTTGGGAACCTGCGGAGCTTTGCGCAACGCTCCCCAAAAATTAGCCGGTCGAAAACATCGATGTTGTCGAACAAGCGATCATGATGAATTTTTTAGCCGGAGGGTTTCCGCTAGATAAGCGGCTTTTTGGCCCAGGATGTGGAAGTCGGCTGAACCGATGGGATGCTCCATCACGGGAATGCACAAATCACCTTGGATGACTTGGCATTGGCTGACGTGATTCCTACGCAAACAAGGAGTGCAAAACTGTGGTTGTTCCGTGCCGTTCCTCGAATGCGCATCGGGCGTCCGGAGTCCAGCTGATGCGCAGTAACAATGGCAACGTCGTGCTCGAGCTGGGTGCGCTGGTGGGAATGTTGGGTTTTTGTGATGTTTGTCCCGATTTGTCGAGGTCTATGTCCCGCCCCATAAGAAATGCCGTCCTTGAAACTTGACAATGGTTGATGGCAAGGACAGCTTCGAGACACATTGGGGGTTCAGGGTTACGGGTTTTCGGATCCTTTGCTGAAGGTCTGCTTCTTTGTTTCCGGCAAGCGCCACATGAACGAAGATCGCATCGGATGCACATCTCACACACGGACGTGGACACACCGTCCATGGCCAGGAAGCGGAGGAAAATGGCCGCTCCAAGACCCCAGTAGCCGAAAGGCTCTGCCAAACTTGGGTCAACAAAGCCGGAGTTTGGGGGGTTGTGCAACCCCGCCCGTTTGAAAGCAAGTCATGATTGTTTTTCCGCCCTATTTTGGCCCACCAGGCTGCTCACTTGCCGCTAGCTCAAGCAAGCCTGGGCGGATCTGATTACGCAAGGTGGTTGATTCTTTTTATGCAATTGCATTGCGACGCCGTCTGCACTTGAGCTGAGGTTGCCGCTGGGCACCGCCACTTGCGGCCAGGAAAACCGCGGCAGCGGACGTCGGCTTGACGTCTGGGGGGATCATGCCCCCGCATGCCCGCGCGCTGGCTACTTGGCAAGGCGGGCCAAATTGGTCGAGCGGGCGTAATTGCCGCGTGCCCCGAAGCTGTGGGGCCGGAAGGGCACATCGGGGCCTTGAGTTCTCCAAGTGCCAGGGCCCTCGCTACAGCACAAGGATTGCAGCGCAATCGGGGCTGTGCAAATAGTTCATAATGTAGATTGGTGACAAATTCGAGGCTACAGCACTCTTGGGTTCCGCCCTCAGTGCTTCGATGGTTCGTGCGGACCATCCCGACAGCACGAGTTGACGTCGGCACCAACCGAACCTGCAGCAACAGTATGCAATGCAATGGTGGCGTCACCGGAATTAGGATTTTTCGGGCAGGCAGAAGGAAAACTCAATTGATTATGAAGGGCATAGTAAAAGGCGTGCCCATGACGGGTGCAAATTTGGTTGCGCAACGTGACGCTGATGTTGCGTTCGCGAACACGTCTGTTCAAACCTTCAAAAAGCACGTTTCAGTACATGTTGGACACGCATGCACTCACGTTGATCAGGCGGCTGCGTGGCACCGACAAGAAGTTCACGGGGCGACCCTCAGAAGAGGGCTGCCAGCTGAGAGCGTTACTGTAAGCGGACGAGAAGCACTTCCTAACTGCCAGGGCTGACTTTGCGCGTGGGCCAAAAACCTCCAGGCCGCTTATGGTTCGTGCTTTCATGCGGACATGCACCACACGTGCCTGGTTTTCCATGGATGCTGCACCCATGTGACACGGAGATTACAATGCCGCTGCTGACCCCAGGCTGGGTCTTGTCAGACGCTGCTTTTGACCACCAATTGGGATCAATCTCTGTGCCATACTGCACCAATCACCAGCTCAGTCAAGGGGCTGCAACATGGACGCCGCCATCAAGATCATGCACAACTTGAGCTGGTGTTCGAACCCATGTGTTTGTCTTGTCAGCTGCTCTTTTGTTGCATCTACTTGGGCGATGTCCGATCTCATCAAGCAAGAAAAACGATGAAAGGAGCGCGGGCCTTCGGAACACAGCTTTTGCTCAATGGCCATGCTTCGATCACGCGCTGCCTCCACGAAGTCCGTGCATCAAGCACAGCAATGCAACACAACAGCTGCTTGCCGAGTGCGCATCGCTGGCAGATATGGCATCAGGTTGCTTCCTGCCGCAGCCTGCGGCTGGCACGGCTTGCACCCTGGGGCGGAAGGTGATGTGGAACCAAACCTCACATGGCCCAATAATTGAAAAGATCTTGTTGGAAGCAACCAGCTTGTTAACAAGTTCCAACGCACAACCGTGGCACGCATTCCAAGCCCACAGCTGCATCTCAGGGACCGGCAGCCACAGCCAACACGGCGAAGCGCAGCGCGTGCATCATGTTGCCAGCACACGCCAAATGCAACTTGCAACGATGCGCAGAACATGCCTCTCAGCGGTTGCACGTCAGCCAGGCCAGGCATGGAACCACCAGCTGGAGGAGATTCCATGCCACCGGCCGAGGACTCGTCAAGCCAATTGAATCAAAACGCAACACCGTCTGAAACACAACGTGATCAACGAATTGGTTCAAGACTCGATTCATCGAAGTCAGCAACTGCAGCAGTTTTCTTCAACTCGCCAAAGAATCGGCAAGCTTGCCACCAAGACGGCACTGCCAAGTTGATGCCATTCTGTACGCCATCAGTGCCAATATAAGCCCTGCCAAAGCGCGTAATTAGAGCGTCCCAGAGTTCACGCAGCCCGAGCCATGTTGACACAAGTTCCCACACCGAATCTGTGGGCGGGGCAGCTCGCGGCTAGGGAGATAGCCCGCAAGCCACAGGTGGTCCGAACGGTGTCTTTGCACGTCTAAACGCTCGGCAAAGTGGGCTTGGGGGGTTGCCATTGCTTCCAGGGCACGTTGCTCACTTCAACTCACAGGATGCATCATGTCTCCCCCGGCGGACCAGCACCGTTAGCCAAAACCCTTCCCAGTCTGTCAGTGGCGTCAAGACATTGTTCAAAGAACACGTTTGCCCCTCACGCCGTCGACGCGCTTCGGCATGGTCAAGAACCAAAGTCGACCCAGACCACCCCCTCTGGCCCTTGCTGATGAAGTAGACACCCACATGTCGTGAAAAATTCTGCAAGACCAACAGCTGCAGTGACTACCGCTCACCTCCGACTGCTACTTCTGCTGCGGCGCAGAAATGAATCATCCCGGCGGCATGATAAACACCTTGTGGCCGACAACAACCATCAACAAGTCAAAGTTCAGCATGTCAATCATGCCTGAATGGCCGGTCAGAACATCCTGAAGCTAACAGCTAGAAGATGGAAAATGAACTGCCCAAACACATTCTTTCCTTTTCCAGAGTCCAGAGCAATGAATGCTCCATGTGCTTTGCACAAGGGGCGCCTTTGTACACACCCATCCAGGCTCATGCAAAGCGCAGCTCTCCGCAGCATAAGTAAGCCACCAATACCAGCCACTTCAAGGAAATCAAGCTTGTAACTTCTGAGGAATTTATTGTAGGGCGCTGGAGTTGTGGCTACTAGTAGCATCTCAAGAAGTCTGTGTCAGGTTCAGCTCATCCCTCCATGCCTTGGTCTCATGGCGATCTCACGGGCACGTTTTCTTAACCACGTTTGGTGGGTCTCTTAGGTTCATGCACGCACGTGGCGAGCAAGCAGGACGGCAAGCTCCCTCTGATTCTGACCGATCCGCGATGACCTTCAAAACAACCGGAAAAGCATGCTGCTCTGACAGCAAATGACATGCAGTTATCAACCAAGCAATGCACTGCGCGGTCTGCCGTGCAACATCTAGAGGTTCCAGTCCTCATGCACAGGCTGCAAGTCAGGCTTTGTGCTGGCAAATGGCCGTCCACCCAAGACGACGTTCCATGCGTTGCCCTGTCTGTTCAATGATAGATGCTAGCATCATGCAAGTGCAACAGCCAAGGCTTTGTAGACCCTTTATTGAAGAAAAGCTCACGGAAGAGGAGTTTACAGACACAGGATGACACAGGCATGAGGGCTGTACTCAAGCAATCACCTTCATCCCCTGTTTCTACTGACTGCTCTACCTGATCAGATTGGCTTGGCATTTCTGGCTCTGATTTCGTACGATCGAATGTGTGTCTGATCTGTTCATTTTGTTTCTTCTGTGTGTCCGTGGGGCTCTTGTTTGGGAAAGGGCTGCTCTTGTGCATGGATGTGTTTGCATCAGCCATCTCAACACGACTGCAACGAATGCTCATTTTGACATGTGCAGGTTGGCAGTGTGCAATCCCGCAGCTTCTCGCTTATTGCTGCTGGGTAACCATCCGCAGATCGCAAGTCGGGAATGGCCTGGCCAAGGAGGGAACAAAGGCCACAGCACGGAACGCCACAACTTAAAAGCCAAGCCAGCCAGGCTCGGGAGTTAACCAGCAGATTCATCGCATCCACTCGGCCTCTTCAGAAAATTGCTGCCGTTTGTGCTTATGAAGTCCTAGAGTATACTAAAGACTGAAGAGACTTAAAAGCAGGGAGTTTTGGTTCCGTAAGACGAGCCTGCTCCAGCAGCCAGGTGCAGCGGAGCCCAACCGAGCGAGTCTTGTGCATTGACATCGGCCCGGCCAATAATCAGGCTCCTCGTGATGAGCTGGAAAGAGCAGGTGTCGGCCGCTGGTCGAAAAAACAAGCGTCACAAAATTACCAAGCCTGATGGTATCAGTATGGCCATGAAGGGCAGCAAAGTGCAACGCCTTCGCAGAGCTCTTGAAAGCAATGCCGCTGGTCGCAAGGGCCCCCAGCCAGTACATGATAAGCCCCGTGCACCGGTACCACCAGGCAGCGTCAAAGACTCGACTGACATGGACACCAAGCGGTCCACTTGAAGGGCCTGGCCCGCTTTGCCCGTTCTTCATGTCGGGTCACCATCCAACTTCCCCACCTTGCCAGCCACAGTTGCACGAAGAAGCTGTGTGCCTGAGGAAAAAACATTGAAGGCATGCTCTAGCAAAGATCGGATCAAATCTAATTCAGCCAGCACACTCTCGTCTTGAACCGGAAATATGTCACAGCACCGTGACCGATCCCTCAACGCGTGGCAAGAGCCGCGGCATACCTGAGGGACGGGTGAGGGATCATTTTAGAACACCGATTGGCGGAACACCGATTAGCGTCATTTTGGAACCCCGTTCGGCGTGATCTTGGAACACAAGAACCAGAAAGGGATCATTTTGGAACATAAGATATGCAACTTTGTCATCGCCTCATTAGTCCAAGCTTTGCCCCATTAGTCCAAGGATCTTTCGCATTAGTCCAAACCAAGCTACGCCCCACTAAGTCCAAGGATCGGTCCTATTAATCCAAACTAGGGACCACTAGTCCAAGCTAATTACGCCCCGTTCTGATTTAATGTTATGTTATCCATATTAGTCCAAGCTTCGCCCTATTAGTCCAAGGATCGCTCCAAATTGCAGGCGCCCTACACTCCGTAAATATCACGTACCGAGACCCTGGAAACCACGGCAACCATAGAAACCTTAGAACCATGAAAAACGTAGAAATCATGGAGACCCTAGAAACCATGGAAATCATGGAAACCATAGCAGTCATGGAAAGCACGCAAACCCTGGAAACCGTGTTGACAGCCACTGATCCCCCTGTCCGCGTTCCAAAATTTCACGAATGCTCGTTCCAAATTGACCCCGTTCCCCCGAGCGACGGAACTGCAACAGGTGTAATTGTGCAAGTCTAGAAGCACTGAGCAGTCAAGCTGAGGGGCAATCTCGGAGGAGTTCGCCTTTAGTTCAGATGAACCCAAAGGACAGTTGAAGTCGCTGCAGAGCTGGTCGCAGCATCTGTAAAGATCCACGGTCAAGTCGCATTGACCTTTGCCTTGGATCCGGAAGTTGGACTGAGAAAAATGGACACTCTTCAAAGTTTAGATTGTCCTTTTATTGTTGTGGCTCTACATTCTTTCACCTAGGTGGACCAGTGGACTACTTGTCGGTTGTGCAGTCTACCTGGACATTCCATCCCTAAAGCCAAGGCCCCGACACAGTGGAGGTGTCGCTCGAAGCTTGGGAATGTGCCCACTCGGACAAGTGAGATTTGTACAGTCCTGCTGAGCGGACACCACCTGAGAAGATGAAGAACAATTCAGCCACCAGCGCTTGTTGCCCAAACACAAGCTTAGTCATCGTAAAAAATTGAGCTGCCTACCAGTGTGAGGACAGCTCGTAGCAGCCATGTGGCTAGTGGAATTCTCATGCGCCTCTATCGTGAGATGCTTGTACCCTTTCTCTCAGTCCTCTGTTATGAAGTCGCTTGCACCAGTTCCAAGCATTTGAAAAACAAACATACTAGGTACTAGTTGCGTTACCAGTTACTGCTGGTTCGGAAGGTTCGGAATGTTCATGCCAAACGGGGCCAGGCTCATCTTGGACAGCGGCTTGAAACGTCAATCACAAGCGCTCTGCAGATTTCAAGACAAATCTCTCCTCAATCCGGCACTGTCAACTACATCATGTCCGTCCCAGAATGGTATACCAAACACAACATTCCAAAGCACGTGCTCAAACAACGCTCAAACAAGGAGCATGCACAGCCCTAGCAAGGAGTTTCTGCGACCCTCATACGGCAACAGGGACGGAGCCCTGAGGCGTCGCAAACCACGTCATGTTCGAGAGGGGACGGTTCGGCACAAAGGTGATGATTTACGATGCACAACAAAGAGGTCTACTACACCAGCTACTTAGGCGATCTTAAGTGCCTATGGGACACGCTATTGGCCATCTCATCAACACATGCAAGAGTAGTCTGCCAAAAGCTTTGATCCAGTAATTGCCATACAGCCCAAACACCAAGCGCACAAGCCACAGCTTGCAGAACAGCAGTGCAGTCCTTTTATCGGATCGCGGCATTTATTTGCCAAGTCCAACCAACCTCAGCCCAGAGCAAGAGGCCAAAGTCTAAGTTGCTGCTGGTCAAGAGGCGCTGGCTCAACCTCCACAATCAGGGACTCGTCGAAGCGCCGCTCGAATCTGCGCTTCGCGTTCCAGTCCTGCCGGGCACCAGGCCCGACAGAAAGGCACGGCTTGAGCACAGAACTTGCTGAATTTTGCTGGGCTGCATTCTAAATGCCCACAGTAAATGCCCACTGGTCAGGGGCTGAGCAACCTCTCCAAGCACCTGACCTCCGGTTGAGGCAAGAGCGAAGTGTCCAGGCCTCTCACAGATCCACCCACTGGAAAGACCATGTTCCCGGCTTGTGAAGTATCCTTCTGTTTTTTTTCTTAGCTGTTCGTCCTTTGAAGACGACGACGGGTACTACTACTCCTGCTGCTCACTTTCCTCCTATTATCGGACTTTGTAGTGGATACAAGCAAAGCTGGGATCGCTGCATGAGGACTCCTTCTCCGCTCCGGCCGCGGGAAGGCCAGCAATGGCACCAACTGCATTCAGAGACCACAGTACATATGAAATAGAACAAGACCGGGTGCTTTTGGGGGCTTGCCATGCCTGCTCCGATCGCCTCGGCGCACTTCCCAGGCTTCTTCCAGCCCAGGCCGAAGTCAGGCCTGACCTGCAAAGCAAACCGTTTCAGTCACGGCGACGACCGTCACTGCGGTGATGCCGCATGCCTGCCTGCACTCGTCGAATGCCGCCGACGGACATGCCAACCAGGCCCTCCTCAATCGCCTGCATGAACAGGACAGTTTTTGCAGCCCTCTCAATGGCATTGAGCAGGTCAACACAACTCCTACAGTACAGAACATGGAACGAATGCTCAGCACTCACGAAATCGCCTTCCCCATTCCAGGTAAGGACAGGCAAACAAAGTTTACAGCATGTGATGATAAGAGTTGTGCACCTCCAAAAAGGGGTTCACTTTTTCTCGGGGGTGGCTCGACTTTGAGACTTGCCTCAAAATTTAACCTGCCGGCCTTGACGAACTTCCCTTGCCCGAGTGGTGCTTTGAGTGTGGCATCCTGCTGGCTGCAACACTATCCGTATCACCACCGAGTTTCTATCTGATGCTGTCCTTGGGTCCATCATCCTCTCCATATCCCAAAGAGAAGAGGGTTGTGGCCTCTCGGAAGAAGCATGGCTCTACAAAGGTAGCAAATGGTAGCAATGATGGGCTGGAGTCAGGTTCCAGAAACATCTTGAGCTACAGCCACGCCTCCCCAGACACGCCATCATAGGATCGCTTGCCGGCGCGCATAACCCGGTACCTTGCAAACAGGGTAAATTGAGCACGAAGTGCTGGCTGCGCAGTATTTGTGCCCTCTTGCCATGTGACAAGGGTGTCCCGTGTCTGCACCGTTTGCAGTGAGAAGCGTGCTTCTGAAGTGCACGCAGTTGCGCCTCAGCTTCAGGTCATCGCCGGCCTTTGCTACTCCATCTGCTTCATTGCCCGGCTTCATGTCCTGCATTGTGAATGCAGATCTTCTTCAAATTTCGTGAAATCTTGGTTCATCGCCACTAAATGCACTGTCTGTCCCAGTCTGGAATTACTTTCAGGCAAAATCTATGCAGATGCTGGCAAGGACCCAAAAGAAACAATTTGACAATTTTCGAGATGCTGTTAAAAGGGTTCCTTGTACCGCGCGCCACTCGCAGTGACTTTGTAGGTCTTCTCCTGCCCGGTATGGGTTCGAACGTCCTTCACAAGCTTTCTGTCATGAGGAACCCGCCATCTTGGTGCCATACTTCTCCTGGCATTCGGTGTCTCACTTGCTGTTTGTCTCGTCGGATCTCGTCGGCATGCAGACATGCTTGAAAGCGTGGATAAGGTGAATGAAGTTTGCAGGGAGAAGAGGCAGATTTCAACGTATTATTTCACTCATCTGTGCCTGACCTCTTCCCGCTGCCGGCCAAGCTCCTCGCACTCGGTCATGGATCTGCAGTCAGCCGCCTGTCGCCAAGAAGCTTCACTTAAACGGCTGCTTCCAACGAACAGTAAACCCCTTCTACAATCCCTGTCGCGTGGTAACTTGAGCTCTCCACCTCTTTGATGCCCTTCCCAAGGCCGTAGCCCTTGGGGGGTGGGCTGCCTTTGACCAGCGCCTGAGCCGAGGCAAGACCTGCATCAGGAAAGGCAACCGATTTCCTAGTCAAAGGCCCACAACTTACTGCATGGTTGTATGCTAAGGATGTCTCTGACTACGGCCTGCGCACCAAGCAGCTCCCACAGCCAGCAAGCTCCAGGAGCGTCGCGCTAACACTGGCCTGCTGCCATCAAGCTGGACAAAACGGTCGACAGCCAAGGACTCCCCGATGCTCCACGCCTGCTTTCATGGCTTTCCTTGCCTTCCTTGACTTCAAGCTGAGATGTCCAATGCACGTCACCTGCAAAGGCTTCTGTCAATTCCCCGAACCCAAAATGCGACTGGTGCTGTGCAGAAGGCCTTGCGCAACTCGGCGTGGGATGCTGCGTGGACCTGGTGCGACCCAATCCGGTTGCGCAGCAAGGGCCTCACGGAAACTTAGAATCAGAAGTCACGAATGTGCAAAGCTGCTGAGCCCCCAGCCAAGGCTGCGCAGACAATGGCCAGCAGCGGCCGCGGTCTGATGCCCAACAGCCCATAAGCCCTATGAGCCCTATCATCTGCACACCTCTGCTATGCACCACACCTCTGCTATGCACCACCGCAACCATCTGCTGACTACGAGTCTGGAGCATTTGCATCAATACTGTACCCTGAAAACGGCCAGCCTGCGGCGAAAATTTGAGGCATGCAAGCTGACCTTAGCATTCACAAAATGAAGGGCTTGAATTGTGAGGAGCAGAAAGCTTTCCACTCGCTCAGTCCGTAATCTCGCATGGCTCTCAAACTGATTCCAACTTGAAGCCAGTCTGATGTGGGGAGTTGCTATGCCAGGCTTGACAGGGCGTTGCATTGCAGCGCAGAGTGCACGTCTTGAGAAGGCTGTCACAGCAGTTTGAGTTCTGCCCGCGCCTCGTGCAGCTGCGCCATCGTTGGAGTCCAATCAGCGCCGCTCAAATGAGGTCAAGAAAATCTGTTGCCATGTTTTTAACACCAGGGACCGGTTGGCACAAGCTTTCTGGAATGCTGTGAGCAGTGTGGTCTGCAGTGAGACAACATGGCCTGAAACTTAAGACGCAAGCCCTGAGCCAAATGGATCGATTTCGTGTTTCCAGGCAGCTTGATGGTCCACATGCCAGCTTGGTCACAAGATCCTGATACTTGGGCCAAAGCATTTGTTCATCTACAACAATTTAAACGTTTGAGAATAGACAGCATCGATCCCGTCGCCGCAGGTCGCATCGCATCCAATTCGATCAGCTTCATTGGGCGTCTGAGCTTCTGCAGACTCCCGGTAGCTCTCAAGTGTGAACACTAAACTTGGACAAGCCACTCACTGTCTCCGCTAATACTCTTTGCACCTGAAGGGAAAGGAAAGGGGACAGAATGAATGAAAAGGATTGAGACCCGCACCTCTGAGCACATTTCGCCAACCTGCTGCATTACTTTGGGCACTTTGGCATTTATGTAGTTCTGCAGCTCTTGCAGCTCGGGCTTGTCTTTGACGTTGTCCTGGAGGTCAGCACTCAGAGTGCCTAAGAACTCGTGCATAATGTCCGGGTACGTCTGCTTGAAGTCGCCGCTATCGCCCAAGCATTGGTCAAGTTTCTGTTTCAGCTGCTCTCCAGACAGCTTCGTGAGCTTAGTGCAAGAGTCCCACACGGTCTTCAAGTCTGCCCTGGCCTCATGCATGGCAGTTTCATAGGCTCTTTTGGAATCATAAAGGCCTGTCATGTCAAGGACGGTCTGCGTCTGCATGCCGCCTTGTTCAAGCTCCTTGTCCATATCCTCGAAGAGCTTGTGCAGGGGACTGGAAATTAGTTGGAGAACCGCTTTCGCCTCATCCGCTGGGGCGGCGCTCATGAGGCCATTGAGCTGGCTGCCTGTCGCTGTGGTTGCTTGGTTTACAGCCTTCACCTGTTGCGTGAGCATCCCCAAGGCTGCATCCAAGCCCATCTTTGCCGCAGTCAAAGGTATAGAGCCCGGGTCACCTGCCGACCTCTCCTTCACGGCTTGCTCAAAAGCCTTCCTTGAGGAAACCTTGCTGGAAAGGACGGAGTGCTGCATGAGCTGGCTCGCATCCCAGCTGTCTTCAGAGTCGCACTCCGTTGCTATTAGAGCAACAAGCGTTGAGAATAGCAACACGGATCTCAGCATTGCAGCTCCAGCGACGGCGCACAGCTACGTGAACATACAGTTTCGAGCTCAAAGTCATCGGCCCTAGAGTCAGTATAGGATTGTGGCTCATGCCGCGCTGCAGGACTGTGGAGCATGAGCACAAAGGTTTTCAGATGCATTCATTCGCTCTTTGCTTCTCTGCTGTTGTAGAAGAGAGACAGCAATGTGTTCCTGCAGGCTTTCAGGGTCTTGACCGTGTTCTTTGCATGACGGAACGCAATACAGACCAGAGCAGGAGTTTAAGTCTCGACGCCCGGCAATTTGAGACAGGAGGCCACATCAGATTTGCCAGAAAGTTAGCCGCCACCTCCGTGGGACAAACATTTCGTCACAGCAAAGCCTGTTCCCTGCCCACAACTGCGACTGTCTGATCTTGAGCTACATGACAAGTCCAGCCTGGTGCCGCACAGGGACAAAAGCAAAGATGCTGAAGGAAAGCGGGATCCATACCTGCATAGTGGCTGCAGCTTTAGGGCGGTGGGTTGTTGGAGGCAACACCTTCCAGATGTAGAGGAGGCAGCCGACGTATTCTTGACCTCAAGGTAGTGGCGGCTGTATGACCGTCTACTTGCTACAGATCTGATGACTGGAACTCAAAACTGTGTTCTAAGCACACCGATAAAAGTTTGCAAGAGCCGGCTAAGTCAGCTGCGCAGCTTCAAGATCAGCATGTCTACATCCTGGCCACCTTGCGGGCACACAATGTAGAGACAAATCTTCTTCTGAGCCCTCACACATGGGGTTCAAGCGGAGGAACCCGTTGAACACATAGAAGCTTGGAAGATAGACCGTCGGATTCCTGCATCTCTCTGCCCATTACGCCAGACATGATGTGGCTGCAAACGAATCTTGATGCACTTTCCTACTCGCTGCAGGCAAGGAGCCAGACGAACTGTTGTAGTGCAACTTTCTTGCAAATCTCCAGCCTTGCACGAGGCAAGTGCAGCGCGGACCGGAGCTTCCATTAGCCAAGCTGCGGAGCGCTCCCTGGAAATCGCCTTGGTAAACTATATAAACTCTGCAAATTCCCAGCAGTGTAGTCAGTGTAGTCAGTAACCCATGAATTTGCTCTGAGCGGCTGGTTCAGCCAGTTGAGCCAGGGTCGCAGGCCGCAGGCTCCCCAGCCGATGGCATAGAGTGTGAACGCCAAACCTCGAGGTGCTGTGTGTCCACTGCATGGCTGCAAATGGGTGCAAGATGGCTTGCGAGGAGAAGGCAGGTAGAAGCAGCTGCAGCTTGCCTTTTCAGATCGAAAGCCGCATCAAAAGCGTTGGTTCACCTTTTTCCATTTGAAGGTGAATACCAACAGCTGCCCAGTTCTCAACAATCCAGCTGTACATTCGGGACTTGGGGCACATATCATAAGATGTATTCACTGGTGCGGAGCAAGCTTCCTGCCAACAATCAACGCGTCAACACATTTTCATGACCCAGAAATGCAGGAAGCTCCACTCTGAAGACATGGGCTGGTCTGAAAGCCCAGCATGTTCCGTGCAGCTATTCAAGATTGACACCAGTCGGAATGCTGGATTGCCAGCAGAATCTGAACAACCCTTGGGAATTCGGATGGGTCCCATGTCACAGCGGCGCGCGTCACATGGAGAAAGGATTAGACGTCAAGAACATATAGGCCTGCTGTACAACTCCGCAACCTGCAGTTCAAGCCAAACGTGGGGAAGTACATAGCAGCACCTTGCGGTATCAATGAATGGTTTCACTGCGGATAGCGAATGCCATCGTTATGTTCACAACGACATGGCAACCAACATACACGGCACTCTAATCTCAGATCGCTTTGCAGAGCACGTCCCGCCAAGATGTCCAAGACAGCAGCCGGGGCTTTCCCTCCACATCTTGATTGTAGGACTGACTGAATATCACGTGTTTCCAAGGGCATGGCTTGCTTCCTGAGATGCGGGGCTTATCATCTATGAGGATGTCTCCCTGCACCTGGGTCTTGTCTCTTGTGATGATCAAGCGTTCCTGGAATTCAGCTCCAAGCATGCGCTCAACAGAGAGGTACTTCTCCAACGCACAGGTCCCAGCACAAGTGGGGTGAGGAGCCGTGACAAGCTTCACGTCCACTCCCTCTGCCACCAGCGTCTGCAAAGCCTCTATTGCACCTGGCAGTGGCTCCAGGCTTTCATAGAATCCTGGTGAAGCTACTGTCTCCAACACCATGGCACGCTCAGACTCGTCGAAGTTCTCCTCAATCTCAAACTTTGACCGTTTGCGGACCATCAGCTCGACAAGCCGCGCATCCCTCCTAGAGGCCTTCGCATAGCGGCGAATGAACTCACCATCCCAATCCACAATAGTGTTGTCCATGTCCACCAGCACAGTGCGCCCCTGCAGAGACTCGTAGGACGTCGGCTTCGACTCCACCTGCATCTGGACTGTATCCAGGAGCTCTCGGTAGTGCTGGCCCATCTGGCTGTAGCTGAACTGCTTCAGGACACGTGCTCTGCCTGCAGCGCCCATCCTCTCGCACAAAGCTTGGTCTCGGTACAGCTTTAGTACGGCGGCCCGGATAGCATCCGGACTTCCAGGTGGCACCAAGTACCCCTCGACTCCATCAGTGACAGCCTCGGGGATGGCATCAATTCGGCTACAAATCACTGGCCGCTCAAAGGCCATGGCCTCGCAAATGACCAGAGGCAAGACCTCGTTCAGGGATGGGACCAGCACGACGTCTGCAGCCATGTAGAAGCGCAAAACAGCTGCTTGGATGTCCATGATCGTAATCTGAGGCTGCCCACGCTCCTCCTCCGCCAGATCCTCCCAGCGCCTGCAGGACACGTTGTGGGCAGCGGCCACCTCAAAGATGGAGTCGATATAGCGGATTTCATGGTCCCTGATGTAGCGAGCGCCAACGATCAGCTGCTTCAGGTTCTTGCAGCCATCTTCCTGGATTAGCCTGGAGCATGCCGTTGCGGAGATCATCTGTCCCTTTCTGCTGCAGACGGTGCCCAGGTGCAGCACCAGAAAGTCCTCATCGGAGTAACCCAGAGTTGCTCGCACTTCCCGCCTGAACTTAAGATACTTGCTGCACAACAAAAGCACAAATGTTACACGAAGCCACGGACAAGGAAATGCGGGATACAGTGCATATACTTGGACAGACCAAAAACTACTAATGTCAAATACCTATCATCCAAAAAGGCTTGCGGTTTGAAGCCGCGCCTGTCTTGCGTTTGCTTGAAGTGGTCCAGCTGCTGGAGGGGAATACCGTTGTAGATTGTGATGCCAGCCTCGGGCCTGAACATCCCATCGTACAAGTGCCGCTGCATGTCGGACGGGAAGACAATCGTACCAGCAGCTGCGAATGCCTTCCGGATGACCCTTGCATCGATGTCTTTACACATGAACACCTCCTTCGCATAGTGATCCAACTGATCTTGTGGCCAAGACTCATGAATGACCCACACACTGGGAAGCGCAAGATCTGCTGCCATAAGGATGATGTCACAGCGCATGATGGTGTTGGCGAGGAGCATGCCAACCTTGAGCTCTCGGAGTGAAATTGCAAGGTCTGCCAAAAATCTTGGAGAAGTGGTGTCCACAATGGTCACTTGCAGACCAAGCTTCTCAAAATCTTCCTTCATAGGGCCAGCCTTTGGTGAGAAGATTGTGAGTGGTTGGCTTTGCTTGAGGACCCGCGCAATGTACAGGCAGAAGTTGTTCGCGCCATTCCTTTCAAGACTGTGCGTGAAGATGGCACAGACAGGTCTCTGGCTATGTGGAAGAGCTCGCAGCTCTTCAGATGCACTGGGAACGTCCGCGGCACTGAACTTGATACTGTGCAGTATCTGCAGGACATCCTCCATGGTCTCATTTGAAACTTTGTGCTTCAAGAATACCCCCAGGAGCTGATCCGCACTCCAGGTTTCCTCCATGATAGTTGCTGCGGTTCCCAGCTGATCTTGCTTGTCTTGCCTGTCTGCTTTGGATCCAACATGCTTAAAAAGCGATCCGACTGCCTGAGGGGGCTTTGTGGACGTCTCATGGCTGAAGCAAGACTTGTCCAGGCTGCCACCAAAGGCACACCCTGTGACACGGGACTCTGCTTCGATGCTCGGGTTTTTGCCTTGAACATGCATTGCATGCAAGCGCCAAGCAGCGTTCTCCAAACGCCTTCCCTGATAGCTTTCATCCTTCAGTGCTGTGAACACTTTCCAGGAACTAAGGAGCTCATCCGTAGAGCTCTCAGCGAGAACATAGACGTCCGAAGCAAAATCCTGGTCATCCTGCTCGCCGTAGTGGCGTTCCTCACTATCTGTGCTCAGCAATGACAAGCTCTTCCAGGAATTGCTTCCCAGGCCCATGGCTGCTGCGTGAAAAAACTCTAGAGTGAAAGAGGTGCACAGTGCGCAAGCTCGATTGCAAAATGGCTTCTGCACAATATTGCAGCCGCAAGCTACACAGTCTCTGCATCATGTTTGCTGCTTGTAGCTTGATAGCGGTGAACATAGCAGCCAACATCAAGACTACTAAGGACGCGCCAAGCTGCTTCTCTGCCCATCGAAGGCCGTTTCTTGACACCCACGAGTCTCAACCTGCTGCGCCTGTCAGATCCGGGTTTAAAGCTGAAGTGACGTCAAACCTGATCTTCGAGGCCCCAGCAATGCCATCCCCCAGGAAGCCAAGCCTGTTGCTAGCATTTCCCAAAAAGAATCTGCTTTCATGGCGCCAGCCCGAAAAGACCAAAAGAAAGTCAACATGAGTGCCCAACGACCCGGCTACAACTCCGGTGATGGCGGCGGGCGAGCGACTCAAAGCTCGCTCGTACAGTCTCACGAAAGTCTCCACACCCATCAGCACATGGAATCGCCAACACTCATGGCTCAAGTCAGTAAGACTTGTTGGGGTTCAAGGGTTGCGCTGGCAAGCTATATGCGTGAACATGCTCTGGAATCTGCGGAAACCCACATGGTCTTACAACATCTTGCAATGTCTCGCAAGCCTCTGATCATGTCACTGCAAAACCCCAACACAGAAAGCTGGTCCTGAGCGAGGAGGAAAGGCTTCATGTCAGAAATTCAGCATGGCCATTCAGACGGACAGCAACAAAGTCACAACAATGCATCTGGACAACAACGCCCAAACAAAGGATTATGTGAAACTTAAGGTGAAACAGCTTCTAAAACATCGCTTAAGTGAGAGGTACTTCTGCACTGTCTTGATGCTATTTTGCCCAAAGCCATACCCAGGCTACTCTGAGACTACTGACCTGGGTCTGCATCAGGGTGTGCAACCCAATCATTCCAAACGATGAGGAAGGCACGTCAAAATTGTTCAGCAATTTCGGCAATGATATATACTACTCGTCATTTCAACAGACACCACGGTCGCCAACCACTCTGCAAGCTGCGGACCCCCTTTCTCGCAGCACTCAATCAACTGCTACAACCACTTTTTGTTTGCGAGCTTCTGAGGGCATGCCAATATGCACATGAGCCCAATTGCAAGCTTAAGTTGGTAAGTTTGTCGATGATTTGTTGACTTGCCCACGTCTTCCCCAGAAGTAATTGACCCCAAACGTCAAACGCAAGAAGTTGATATGCAGGCTTTGGTTTCACAACTCCTGGCTGGGCGACTGAAGCAGCACTGTGTCTTCAACCTGAGGATGTTTGCTCACACCGCTATATCTTTGCCGAAGGGACGCTTTGGAGGAAGAGCCACCAGCAAGATTTAAGTGCACTGTGATGTCGTTGAAGCTGTCGGCAATGCTCGTGGAAGTCGCTAAAACAACACCTTCCATCCAATCCAGTTTTGTGGTATCCACAACCTGCCACTGCATGTTGGCATACGTGCGGAAAGCGTAGAAACCTGTTTGCGGAAAACGTAGAGTCCCCCAAGCAGTATGGTCGCTCTCCCAAATGTGGCCTGCGGGATTGGGGCCTGTCCAGCCTTTGGTGATGAAAACGCTGTTGAGAATTCCTTGAGCCAATGTCAACCAGTCATTCAACTCCTGCTTCGGCCGGGCGTTGGCCTGTTCACAATGGCACATGCTTCAGGGGTCCCCAAAAAAAAATGCACGCTAAATTGCCCAGGTGTTTAAAAAGCTGTGCCTGGGAAACCTGCCTGGTAAAGAAAGCTCTCACAAAGCGCGACGGGGGCGAAGGATCCCCAGGGAGGCCACCGGTATTGAAACCATGCCCGAGGTCGTAAGGCACTTCTTTCTGTCCTGCCAGGAGGTTGCCAGTTGACATTCGCAGAACCTTGTTGTTGCCCTCTTCTGGCAATATCCAACGGTAGGTGTTCAAATTATCAACATGCCATGGGTAGAATGGGTCATTTGTCATCACTCCCACATGATTGTTGTAGACCTTCGGCTCTCCCCGTTCGTACTCCAACACAATGGAATTTCCGTCTTTGTCCGCTATGGCCCAATGAATGTTGCCACGCCGTACCAAGGTATCCATCGGGTTGGCGATGCAATACTTGCCGCTTTGGATTGCGTTCACGACGTCGGCCACTGTAGCAAAATGTGTCAAGATCCACTGCGGTACTTGCACCGTGTAAATGGTCTGGTACTCTTTGGAAAAGGGATTACACTCTTGGTATTCACTGCGATACAAACTCTGCGTTGCAAGAGTCAGACCTTTTTCATTCATGCCATCTGCAAAAAATGGTGGAACTCCAAGGCCCAGAACTCCAAACGTTCCGTGTGCTGTCGTCTTCGAAACATTGTTCAACTCCATGACATGGCCTCGTGGCCTTGTGAAGAGCTTCCAATTTGTGATTCCGTAAATATTGTCGAACTCCATCGTGTGTCCCATAATCTTTGAATTATTCTCGAGGTTTGTTGTCAACTCGAAATACGTGCAGGCCTCTGATACTTTGCTCAAGGCCAGTGCCACAGCAGCCCCCACAACGTGCCGCATCATGCACTTTGGCCACATTGACACACACGCATTGAAGTCTAAAATTGTTCCCTTCGCGAGCCAAATCGCAAGGCACTGACAAAATTATTCATGCAACTCGCTGTGCAATGATATGCGAACTCACACCGTTTTCGATATACAATGGTATGACATGGTGATACGGACTGATGAAACATGCTCCTCATTGGAAAGTCAAAAGCTCGAAACAAAAATCATCACAAAAATGTGCCTTGGTTTCCACAAAATCTTTGAAGGTGGGTTGTGAAATCAAGTTTGCCACATTTGGATTTACAAAGTCTGGAAGGTTAGCATGCAAATTTCAATGCACATGTGTACATGACCGAAGTGAACACACATGTACGCATGCACTGACATGTGACTGTAATGACACGTTCCTCAAGCGGACTGCTGCGCACCTCACGTATTTTGCACACGCGGGGGCTATTAAAATCCGGTTGGATGTATGGCTGGGCTGATGCGCTGACGCTTGCGCCATGCGTTTGTCCGCGCCCGGTTGCCCTCACACAGAAGTTTTGGTACCCAGATGTCCTTCAAGGGAAGGATGAGTGGGTAAAAACTAAGTTGAGCATGCCAAGTGTTCCAAAAGTGCTAGCACCGCACCTAGATTGCACAGCATATGTTGACATAAATGACATGCGTGCATGTTTGATGCGACTGTGCCGAACACGTCGGCTCATCAGCAAGTGAGATTGAGCAAGGAGCTCGACCCGAGGGAGCAAAACGCCATCAGAATTTCAGCTTTAATCAATCGGCAGGAGCAAAAAAAAATCCTCATCAAAGACGGGAGGGGAAAAGCGGCAAACTCCGTTCGGGACGGAAATGAAGTCTGCGGAATCTGTGTGGCCTCGCACGTCATGAAGCCAAACGCTGACGGCACTGCGCCCCGCCTCAATGCGTCCGCTGCAACGTCATTAAGGAAACCCGGGACGAAATCCAAATGCACAGAAATGCGGACAAGCTCCTGCAGCCTGAAAAAGCTGCGCAAGAATCGGGACACGCCACGGGCCAATGAGAGGTCTCTCCAGGCAGCTGCTTGCGAGGGGGAGTTATCGGTACGGAAAACAACATTAATAGGGACATGCCCCGGGAGGAGCAAAACTGATAGCACCCAGAGGAGAACCACCTCAACAAGCATCTCAAAAAGCTGCAACGCAGTGCTTGGGTGAAGTATTAGGCGGAAACGAAGAAAACATATCGGATAGCTGAACTGCAGTGAAACCTGGGCAAGTCATGCCTGCTGACCTTTGGGAAAGCGGATAAAACCGTCTATGCCGGCTGTTTTGTAACACACGCAGCGGGAAATTTCTGGAACACAAACACGGGGTGCGAGGTTCGGTCGTTTTCGCAAGCGCAAACTGGCTTTCAAGTCGAGCCCGACTGCGGGAGCAACGTCAACTTCAGCATGTGCAAACTGTACAACACACACTGCACGCGCTACAAATAGAGCCTTATTTTAGACCCGTGACTCCTCTGGTGTCAGTGGAGCGTCTGTACAATTTTGCCGTGCAAGGTCAAGCGTAGTTTTAAGTGTTGTACTCTTTGGATTTTGGTTTACGCCTCTGTAGTTGCTTAGCTCGTTTCTTCACGATGCTATCATGATGCTGGCTAGTGTCATAGACATTTGTTTCCAGCACGCTGAGCAATTTGATAGGTTCCATGACCTTAGTCATTGAATCAGCTATCATGACATCTGTGTCGAGCCACCTGACCGTTCATTACTTAGTGTTGAGCTGAACTTCCAAAGTCAATGCAACACGCAACTGCAACAGCAAGCGAGGACCTTCTTTTTTTTCTTGGCTTGGCGAGATTCTGGGATCCATCCTTTGCCGCTTCATCCCAAGTGGATGGAAGCAAAGATGTTCAGAAGCAATGCACAGCAAAGCGGATGACAGTATTCCCAGTCTCAAATTGCCAAGTCAAGAAGGCCGCAGCAAATCTTCCCCAGTGTGAAAATGGCTTACGAGATCCAACTGCGAAGCTACCGCAGAAGCGCAAGCGAAGCTAGCCTGATGACGCAGCCAAAGAAAGGAAAAGAAAAGGCTGGCATGCCGGCTGGCTCAGAGCCACGATCCCCGTCGTGAACAATTTGAGCGCAGAGGCCCAAACTGCCCGCGAGGAAAGGCGGAGCGAACACGGGCGCAGGTGCTGAAAAACAAGGCTTTGTGACCTCAACGCCACGGACCCGGCTGCCTGGGAAGGCGCCATTGGAGAAAAGTGTTGCAAGGAAGAAGCTGTGGCTGAAGCTGCACATGCCAAAAATCTGACAAGGAGATGCGGACCCGGTCTGCACTTGCGAAAGGCTAAAGGCATGTGGGATGGGGGATGACTCTTCCCTTCTGCTCAAAGCGTCCGCCTCAGTATTCCTCTCACCTGAAATGTGAGAGCACGAAAGAAACACAGCGTGAGCACATGCCCACATAGCCAAACGCTGCACGAAGAGGGCCAAGGGCTACTTGCTAGTGTAAAGGCGATTGATGACGCTCTCTGCCCCGACATTATCACTGAGCGCGGGCAGTCGAACACGCAAGCGACCACCACTTATGGTCCTAAGCAGGAGAACCAGAAGGAAGCCCTGAGCAAGCGTCTCGTAGGAGGCAATATCCAGATTAGCATCATCCTTAACGGGGATGCCAAAAGTGCGAAAGTCAGCAGGGCAAAAACGCTCCGAAAACCAGAAGCAGTGAGAAGCGTCTAGGCGAAGCCAGCCTCCTACGCCGCACGCGTCGCCTTCACCAAAGGCATCAGCTGCACTATGGAAGGGCAGCACTGGTGGCAGGGCCAACGGACGCCAAGGCCAGGGGTTCCGGCACCACCAGAGCAGGAAGCAAAGCATTTCTTTGCTGGGCTCAGAAAGCTTGCGCCTGGAAGAAGAAGGATCTGCAACGCGAAGCCAAATCCTGCGGGAAGACCAGACGCAAATCTGCCTTGGAGTGCAAGGACTTGTGTCTGGCAGAGAGCAAGGTGGAACCTAGAGGAATATCTGTTCCCCGTGGAGTGCTCAAGTGCGCCCAGGCATGGCCAATCTGAGGGATCGACGCTGTAAGAGGCACCAAGCGGGCGGCGCACGTCGTCATAAAGACAACACAGCCAGGGCCGCAGTTCTGGTGCACATTGAAGAATCCACTGCATCAAGCCTAAGACCTTGTCCAAGTGCTTCTTTGAAACGCGCCGTCCAGAAAAGCAAGATTCAAGTAAAGAGATGGCCTTATCACGCTTGTCTGCTGGTAGACGGAAGCCTCCTGCTGCAAAGTTGATTTCCCAGCCGATCCAAGTTATTCTTCGACCCATTTGCAACTTTGGCCAATTAATGAGCATGCCGGGAATGCCAAAGCCCCCAGAGGCAGGACCCTGCGACTTTGCCACAGCAGCAGGTCATCGGAGTACAGCATAAGCACGTGTGCTAGGAACAGAAGCTGGTGCAGTACTCTGACAAAGAAACTGCCTAAGCGAGCAAAACAGTGACTTGAGAAAACCGCTCCAAAGGGGGCTACCTGATAGAAATGGTGACCCTTTTCACGAATCCGCAACATCTTGTGAGCGGAGCGAATATCTGCAGAGAAGGCTGAAACCTCTTCGGCATCTTCCCGGAGCGGAAAAGCAGAGCGGATGTCTGCCAAAGAAGGAAGGCAGGATTTCTCGGGCACTCTACATGCCTGGTTCGCATGATGCACTGACGAGTCTACGACTAAGCGTGGTTTATATTGACCCGGCCAACAGCGACCCGACCGGGTCCGAAGTGGGCTTGAGCAGCCTCCAAAG